ACCTTGATCACGTGGTGGAGGTGGTGCTTGTCCGGATTGCCACTGTAAAGCTACTTTTTTCATCCTTCCATACTCTTACTCTTTGGAAACAAGTCACTAAGCACAGCTCACACTCAGGGATGGAGAGTTAAGTCCCACCTCCTTGAGGGGCAATATCTACTAAAATTATTTGGAATTCTTCTGTAGAGGAGATCTCTTTTATGGGAGTTTTTTTTTTCCTTTACTATACCATAAAAATTTTTAATTTCTACTTGTATTATATTGACATCAAGTAGCGTGGCCAAATTGTCCCCACTTCACCCCACCCCCACCCCCACCTTCCCTTTCTCTCCAATCCAGATTAGAAGTTCAGTTATACTGGTGAGCAAAACTAATCAGTTTTATTGATTGATATAAACATTGTGGTATTTATGAGAACTTGTTGCCATTTTGCTTCCTTCTTCACATGAGGCTACTGGTCACTAAAATAATAATTTATCAGCAACATCAACAGTTTAAACCCCAGTATGGAAGTTATAAGGTTGCATAGCAGACAATATCATAATGCCTTTTACTCATAAAACATTCTCAACTGGGGATGAGTGTTCATGATGTTTGAAACATTTATTGAATTTGCAGAGTGTCATGACCATACTGTTTTTGGTATGGGTGGAAGCGAGTAATTCTACTTTTGAATCATAGTATAACAATGAAGGCTTTTAAAGAGAAGGAGTGAGAATAGTAGGTGCTATTTTGGCTCTGAACAAAAATACCCAGTGAACTCTGCCTGCTGCCATCACGAGGCACCTGGTGAGAAACACCTGCAGCTCCTCTTTTCTACCATTAAAGAACTTGATGTCAGGAAGTTAAACTCTTCCAATGACACATTCAGAAAAGAAAGGGTACAAAGCCTTATATACTTAGGAAGTTCGTGTAGCTTTTGAGAAAATGGCTTATATCAAATGCCCTTCTCCTCAGGATGATAAATGGTATAGGTATTTTTAATGACATTAATTGTGAAGTATCTTTTGTATGAATTCCCTACCACTCTTTAGAAATAAATGGTAAAATAAATGGTATAAATATTTTGGTTGATACTCTTTCAAAGTAGTTTCCAGGCCTATACACAAGTATATGTATACTTATACAATGCTCTAATCATACTAAATATATTATTTTAGGACAAATATCATGAGCATTTCTTCATATTATTAAAAACTTTCACATCATTTTAATGTCTACAGCATTTCAGTGAATGGAGACACTGTAATTTAATGAATCTCAGATTATGAAACTGTCACAAACAGTGCTAATGAACACATCTGGATAGTCATCTTTGACATATTACTGATTATTTCCTTAGAGCAAAGTTTCTCAAACTTGGCACTATTGACATTTTGGGAAGGAAACTTTTTGTTGTTGTAGGGGACTGTCCTGTGCACTTTAGGATGGTGGGCAGCATCCCTGGCCTCTATCCACTAGATGCCAGTAGCACCTCCACTCCTCGTTGTGACAGCCAAAACAGTCTGCAGACATTGCCAAATGTCCCCTAGGAGCCAAAATTTCTCCGCCATTGAAAACCACGGACTCAGAGTAAGATCTCTGAAGAATTTTCACATAAATGATATGCACAATTTAAAGTTAAAAAAAAAATTTATGTGGGTTTTATTTTCAGTTTGAAGAAAGTAATAGGATATAGAGTGATAACTTAAAAATTTGTGAAAAAAATGTTTCCTAAACCTCTCCTACCAAAATTCTTAGAGTTAACTGTGCCCAGGGATTAATACAGCAGGGTCCTAATCCACTTTAGCTACAGAAAAATCACTCTATGTAGCAAGAGAGTGACAGAGGGAATTCCCTGGCGGTCTAGTGGTTAGGGCTCCATGCTATCACTGATGAGGGCCCAGATTCAATCCCTGGTCAGGGAACTAAGATCCCACAAAAAAAAAAAAAAAAAAAGAGAGAGAGATAGAAATCATGGATATAGGAGAGAAGGCCCAACTCTCAAACTGCTTCTCATCTTTTTGACTCCACAGTATTTTGTGATCTCAGATTCTATAACCATGTTTACACATTTTTGTATTTGTTTTTTTGTGGTATGCGGGCCTCTCACTGCTGTGGCCTCTCCCGCAGCGGAGCACAGGCTCCGGACGCGCAGGCCCAGCAGCCATGGCTCACGGACCCAACCGCTCCGCGGCATGTGGGATCCTCCTGGACCGGGGCACGAACCCGTGTCCCCTGCATCGGCAGGCGGACCCCCAACCACTGCGCCACCAGGGAAGCCCACCATGTTTACACATTTTTGACCCCTAAAGTTTTTCTTTTCTAGGCAGTAAAGAGGACTAAGTGTTTAGATACTGAAATAAGTCCAACCAGATTCTGATACTGTCCCTTACCAGTTTCTAACTAGTTGATCTTGGACCACTTTAATCCTCTTTCTCTATCTGTAAAGGGTCCACCATACAGAGTTGTTGGGAAAATAAAATATGAGATGTTTTAAATCTTGGCACTGAGAAAGGACTCGTTAAATATTATCCACTCTCCCCCCAACAAGTTGAAAGAAGAATTATTTATTTTCTCAACTTAATTATATACTTCTAGGCCATCTGAGGAGGCATTAAAACAGAAAGCATTGTCCTGAAACTTTTTCATTGGTATAATAACTCATGTGATATTACAAATGTAAATTTCATAATTGTGTATGAGACACCATGGTGGCTGCTATTTGAGTTACTTGGAACAGTATCCCATTGGGTGAGTGTGGGAAGAAAATACTAGATGCTTGATTTTCTGTGTATTTTAAATTTCATCCATTTTATTTTCTACTTTTATATTTGCTAATATTTTAATATATTAGTACAATGGTGTGATGTATATGATTTATAAGTAAGTAAAAATACATTGAGGATGCTTGTTCAAAGTTTCTTTACTGCTGGGGTGTGAGATCAACATCTATTTTGGAGACCCTTGACCTGGAAGATAGCTTTTTGCTGTTTCTGTGATTTGGGATGGAGGAAAGGAGTCATAAATTTCACTGCCTGTCAGAATCCCCACAATTCACGGAGGGTTATTTCAACATCATTATGCATGAACGGGCCTCTCACTGTTGTGGCCTCTCCCGTTGCGGAGCACAGGCTCCGGACGTGCAGGCTCAGCGGCCATGGCTCACGGGCCCAGCGCTCTGCGGCATGTGGGATCCTCCTGGACCGGGGCACGAACCCGTGTCCCCTGCATCGGCAAGCGGACTCTCAACCACTGCGCCACCAGGGAAGCCCCGAGGCATGTTTTAAATGTTCCAGCCCAGTCTCTCTTTCAAGATTGGTTGGAGTAGGGAGCAGGACGAAGTATTTTCCTGTCACTGAGAGTATCTGGGAAGGTATTTCCCTCTGTTTTGAAAATGGAAAATAAAATACTACCTTTCTCTTTTGAAAAAACCTAAGCTAGGTATTAGGGGACAACAATGTCCAAATTAAATCTTCTCCTTGTGCCTTTCTTCAATTCTCCCTTGAATGGAATAAGGATATCTAAAAGATAATGGAGATGTATGGTAAGATTGGTGGCATGTAAAATGGTGTCAGGGTTCAGAAGGTGTTGGGAAGGAGTGGGTTGTGTGTTTGTGTGTGTGCACACACACAGACACTCGTGTTTGAATGGGAGAACCAACATTCATGGGTTCCAGGTGTCTGACAGTTTCTTTACATGGAACATTTACATCATCCATATTCACCCTCATACAGCCAAGACATGGGGGAAGAGAATTTCTTGCCCTTCTCATGGTAAAAATTTTCAACATAAAGGAAAGATAAGGTGGAAAGTTAAGGTCCTGTTGTATCCCACATTGGCCCTTCTCCCACTCCACAGGCTATCAGTACTTTGTGTATCTTGTACTTCCAGAAATTTCTATGTCTACAAGGAAAAAAATACATATACAGCCTTTTCACAAATAAGATCATAATGTGCAAATAGAAATCATATTAAAGATTTGTTATCAAACTGCTTTTCCTCACTCTGCAATAAAATTGGGATATTTTCCATATCAGTATATATAGATTTACCTCATTCTTTCTAGAGGCTTCATGGCATTCCATTGCATGGATTTACTATAATAAATTTAGCTACTTTCTTATTCAACACTGTAATATTTTTTTTTGGCTGCGTTGGGTCCTCGCTGCTGCGCAGGGGCTTTATCTAGTTGCTCTGCTACGGTGTGTGGCTTCTTATTGCGGTGGCCTCTCCTGCTGCAGAGCATAGCCTCCAGGCATGCAGGCTTCAGCAGTTGTGGCATGAGGGCTCAGTAGTTGTGGCTCATGGGTTCTAGAGCGCAGGCTCAGCAGCTGTGGTGCACGGGCTTTGTTGCTCCGCGGTATGTGGGATCCTCCCAGACCAGAGCTCGAACCTGTGTCCCCTGCATTAGCAGGCAGATTCTTAACCACTGTGCCAACAGGGAAACCCCAACACTGTAATATTTTTTGCATGTATCTTTGAATACTTTTCGAGGGATACATTTATAGAAATGGAATTACTGGCTCAAAAGGTATGCATATTTAAAATTTAAATCCATCATGAGTGCATCAATTTATCTACCCACAAGTGAGACATTTAAAAAAATTCATATTGTTTAAATTTTTTTTCTTTTTTTTTTTTTTTGCGATACGCGGGCCTCTCACTGCTGTGGTCTCTCCCGTTGCGGAGCACAGGCTCCGGACGCGCAGGCTCAGCGGCCATGGCTCACAGGCCCAGCCGCTCCGCGGCATGTGGGATCTTCCCGGACCGGGGCACGAACCCGTGTCGTTCGGCACGGACTCTCATCGGCAGGTGGACTCTCAACCACTGCACCACCAGGGAAGCCCCCATATTGTTTAAATTTTATGGGCAAAAAAGGCACTTAATTTTTCTCTTAATTTTTTCTTTCAAATATTGAGTGATATTGTGCATCTCAAAGCGGTCGTTTGTAAACATGACTGAGGTTAGGGCTCTTTCTATAGTATGTTTGTTGCATCCTAAACTGTTTCTATACTTAGGGTCGCCAGAAAAGCCAGAGTGGAGACTGCAGGGAGTACGGGTTTGAGTGAACTTTGGCTGCTCCATCAAGCGTGCTGATCACTGAGGAAATAACAGGAGACTCACCCAAGTGACTCATCCCCCAAATCCAACAGAGGTAATAGAATAACTTACATTGCACAGCCTTTTGGCTATTTAGTTGGATGTATGAGATCAACGGTGCACACTTTCTCTGCTGGATGTTGCTTTGGGAAAGAGACTTATTGGTTAGATGTCACATTGCAATGCAGTCAGGGGCTTTGGGACCTGATTCCCAATACTCAGAAGCATAGAGAAAAATTATTTAGCATCTTGGCCTCAGGCAACAATATCTACTTCATGGAGTTGTGTCAGGCATCAAATTCTATGGGGATGTACTACTGTCCGCTGCATTAACTATCCTTCATGTTGTTTCATTATTTTCTGAGGCTGTACTTTGTATTGGATGGTGGAAAGCTTGAGGCTAGAGATAACCAAGGTGGCAATTTTAAGAGGCACATGAAATAAAAACGTGAGAGGTCGTGCACGTGGATTATTAGATGGCAAATGTATAATATAGCTTTATATATGTAGTTTTACCCGGATTGGACTCATGTGCTATAATTAGTTTTAAATTTATTACTATCTTTTTCATGAAATTCAGATAGTCTGACTAGTTTATATTCTGTAAACATTTCTTGTTTTACTCTTTCATCAGATTCCACTCTTAAAATTCACTGCATGGTCTCCACAGACAAGAAGTGAAGGTTCTGCATTGCTACAGCCTCTCAGTTAAAAGACAGGGAATCCACATTTTCCCTCATTTTACTCTTAGGCTGCCAGTATGTTTTATAGTCTCCCACACACTTTTCTTCTCTCAAAAACATTTTCAAGTTTAATAATATATTTTTTAAAAGTCAGATAATTTTCAGGTAATAAAAGTCTGGAATCCTGCAGACTTTAGAAGAAATATAAAGAATTAAAAAAAACCCTCACGTACCGAGCCATTTACCATGTCTATCTAAAAATTACAGCTACCCATTAGTAAGTTGCATTATAGAATTGCTAATATTGCCTACTTTTTAAAAAGATTAAAATAAACTTCTTTGGAAGTGATGTTATTTACCAAAAACAACAAGGCAGAATAAGGCATATATCTAAGTTGGTTTAAAATTGAAGTATATTTTATGTAAAATGGGACATTTTAAAGAATAATCTGAACAGGGAAGTCTTTTCCTACATAAATATTTTATAACTTCGTACTGTATAATATGGGAGTTTTTCCTGTTAATTTGTGGTTTTGAGAAGTATAGCTCTTAGTTAAAAAGTACCCATTTGAAGGTTTCTTAGCTTTCATTATGAGGGTACAGTGACCAAAAAAAATCACGTGTCTCATAGTATTCTATGTACTGCATGTAGTCTGGTCAAATGGAATCATCTACTTCAAAAGTTATTGTGAAAGAAAACTGAAAAAGAATAAATTGTGTGTAATTGTGTTAAAGAGTAAGCTTTTACTGATCAGTTAGAAAATAACAAAGACATATTCGCTGTCTGTGCCTGGGTAATCAGTGGGGGGTTAGTAATATTATTTTGTACAAGAAAGAATATTTTTTAAGTGTGTTAAGTTGTTCTTTACTGAAGGGCATGAGAACATTGCATAATCTTTAACTCCTGCCAGAGAGGCTTTGTCCCTGGGTAGAACCAGTTTTATAGTCTATTCATGTATTCAACCAGCATTTATTGAAACTCTCTTCTTTTTATTCACTCTGCTAGGTACAGAGTTTGGGGTGAACCACGTTAGGGGTAAAAAAATCTCAGGAAAGCACACTGCCTTAAGTATTGACAAGCTTGAGGATGGGAGAGTATAGAGAGACTATCATGTAAATAATAAATGATAATACAAAGAAGAATGAGAAGTAGTCATCAAAGGTAAAAATGACATAATAATAAGTGCTAATATTAGCATAGTGTTTACTAATTACCCATCATTAACTAAGGAGTTGACTCTGCACAGTGGGTCTTAGGTCATTTCCCCAGCATCCATTCCCCTCTCTGTCTCCATCTCATACTTACTGTGCAGTTTATAGGCAGATAAATATTTTCCAGGGTTTGTAATCCCCTCTCCTATGCTACAGTGATTGGTCCATTTGAGCAGGTCTGAGCCAATTAGTAATTCCTCTGATCCAGGCAATGGTTCCAGAATGGGCTTGTTATTCACACTGGACAGTGGGACCTGAGAGGTTTTCTAAGAATGTCTGGAAAAGTTCTCCATTACTATTCTGGGAGAGCTTTTCAAAGTGATCATTTTCTTCACTCCTTTGTTTTGGATGAGGAAGCCTATAATCCAATGATAGCCTCTCATAAGCATGAGGGAGAACCAGCCTTAAACTGAATCTGACACCTTAGAAGACAGAACAGAGGGAGAGAAATTAGATCCTTGATCCATGGCTGAACCACTGAATCAATCCAAGGCTGAAGCCTACCTTTCCTCTGGACTTTGAGAAAAGTGAGCCAATAAAACACTTTTGTTTTTTTATGCTAGTCTGAGTTGGGCTTTCTCTTACCTTCAGAGAGTCTAAATTATACTAAGGAGGTTTCTTTTTCAGTCTTCATAACAAACCTATGAAACAGATGATATTATTGTCATCATTTTATGGATGAGAAAGCTGAGGCCTGGAAAGTTCAATAGCTTGCGCTGAACCACGAAAGCAATAAGTGGTAAAGCCAGGAGTTTACCTGTGGAGTTTAATGCTAAGCACCGCGTCCTATTGCTTGCCATGCTTTGGGGTTGCAAAGAGAATGTCAGTTAAGTTGTAGGAAAATTATCCCAGTGCTGGAAGCACTGGCTTTGGGCCTGTAGGTGGAACTTAAATCGGCACGAGATGGAGCTGAAGCAGCAGATTTGGAGTAGAGGGGGTCAAGTGGCAGTGGCTGGGGGTCTAGTCCATGTGTGGCCTCTCAGTGGGGGAGGGGCAGCACCAACAGGAAAGCCTGGAGGTCCCCCAGAGGCTAGAAGACAAAGAGGGAGATCAGAAAAGCGTGGCATGGTCAGACAGAGGAAGTTCAAAGGAGAGAGGAGTCCTTGAATGGAAATGGTGACTCAGCAGAGGAAGCAGAAATACTGAGATTGATAATGACCTACGTGTAGTCCCTGAGATTTGGGGATGATGGGACTAGGGGTGGATTAGTGGGGGGGGAGGAAAGATGACATCACCAGGATCTGTGTACACTTGAGAGTTCAGTATTATCATTATCTGGGCAACGCCAAGTTTCAGTTTAGGAGAGAAGGTAGAGGAAGTGTTACTAGAAGGGTTTGAGTGAGAATGTGTGTCCAAGGGTTTAAAAGAGCACAGTGAAGGGGTACTAGGGGAATGGAGGGGAGAGGGGGAGGGTAAATGAAATGGAGAGAACACAAGCATGAGAGGGCTAGCGGGCTAGTTAGGGAAGCAGGTGTGTTTTTTTTTAACATCTTTATTGGAGTATAATTGCTTTACAATGGTGTGTTAGTTTATGTTGTATAACAAAGTGAATCAGCTATATGTATACATATATCCCTATATCTCTTCCCTCTTGCGTCTCCCTCCCTCCCACCCTCCCTATCCCACCCCTCTAGGTGGTCACAAAGCACCTAGCTGATCTCCCTGTGCTATGTGGTTGCTTCCCACTAGCTATCTATTTTACGTTTGGTAGTGTATATATGTCCATGCCACTCTCTCACTGTGTCACAGCTTACCCTTTCCCCTCCCCATATCCTCAAGTCCATGCTCTAGTAGGTCTGTGTCTTTATTCCCATCTTACCCCTAGGTTCTTCATGACATTTTTTTTTTTTTAGATCCCATACATATGTGTTAGCATACAGTATTTGTTTTTCTCTTTCTGACTTACTTCACTCTGTATGACAGACTCTAGGTCCATCCACCTCACTACAAATAACTCAATTTCGTTTCTTTCAATGGCTGAGTAATATTCCATTGTATATATGTGCCACATGTAAAAGTATGAGATTAGATCACTCCCTAACACCATACACAAAAATAAACTCCAAATGGATTAAAGACCTAAATGTAAGGCCAGACACTATCAAACTCTTAGAGGAAAACATAGGCAGAACACTCTATGACATAAATCACAGCAAGATCCTTTTTGACCCACCTCCTAGAGAAATGGAAATAAAAACAAAAATAAACAAATGGGACCTAATGAAACTTCAAAGCTTTTGCACAGCAAAGGAAACCATAAACAAGACCAAAAGACAACCCTCAGAATGGGAGAAACTATTTGCAAATGAAGCAACTGACAAAGAATTAATCTCCAAAATCTACAAGCAGCTCAATAATAAAAAAACAAACAACCCAATCCAAAAATGGGCAGAAGACCTAAATAGACATTTCTCCAAAGAAGATATACAGATTGCCAACAAACACATGAAAGAATGCTCAACATCATTAATCATTAGAGAAATGCAAATCAAAACTACAATGAGATATCATCTCACACCAGTCAGAATGGCCATCATCAAAAAATCTACAAACAGTAAATGCTGGAGAGGGTGTGGAGAAAAGGGAACCCTCTTGCACTGTTGGTGGGAATGTAAATTGATACAGCCACTATGGAGAACAGTATGGAGGTTCCTTAAAAAACTACAAATACAACTACCATATGACCCAGCAATCCCACTGCAGGTGTGTTTTGGTCAATGTATCAAAACGAACAAGGTGTGGAAATGTGGAAAGGAAAGAGGCAGCTTCCCAGGTTGCATTTACATTGTGGATTCCTTTGCAATTCTGACTCCCAGTGCTTTACGTCCTGCTGGCAGAAGGGAACCGAGGTGGCTATGGCAACCTGACAAGCCTGTAACAGTATTAATATTCACAAACATCTGAAGGCTGCAGTCTTTTAAAAACAACAATAATAGCAGCAGTGGCAGCAGCAACAACCACCATAGTAATTTGTAACTCTTCCCTCTGGAGAAGCACAGAGCTGCATGTATTGTATTTTAAATAATCAGTCACAAATTAACTAATTGCTGCAAACCTTAAACCTGTTTTTCCCTCCAGCTTGTCTTTATCTGCAGATGTCAAAACAAGTAAAATAGATGGACCAGATTTCCTTCAGATGTTTGCTGATAATAATTGTTCTCTTAAAAAATTAAAAATTATATAAGTCTGAGAGCAAAATTCCTTCCTGTGTTGTGACTTTAAAATGTCTTGTTTTTGCCTTTAAGTTTCTGTTCAAGATTTGTAAACTCTGCCTTGCTCCTTTTCTGAATCATCAAATCCAGTGGTTCACCTGGAGAACTGGTTAAAATTCACCTTGGAAGAGCAATTAAAAATGCACATTGTTGGTCCCTACCTTAGAGAAGTAGATTTATTAGGGCTGGAGGAGGGGGTTGCCAACGCCCAAGTGTTAGTTTATGGAGGTTTATATCAGGGGTACTCATGCTGGGAGTTCTGTGCTTTTACTCCCACCTTTCCCTTTCTTTTTGGCTCTGAATGAAGGCTCATTGGTGAGTTGCTGAGCCCTGTCGTGGGTGGAGAAAGAGGAGTGCTATGAGACTGACAGCAGAGCAAGAGCGTGTAGGCAGTGAGGCTCCCAGAAACCTCTGATCTTGCACAGGATGCTGAATAGGAAAGGCACAAGGCAGGATAAAGGTATGGTTCTGCACATTTATGTTGTCTGTTGAGGGCACTGAGCAGAGAAAGTAGAGACTTTGATCTCTTTCATTTCTGCCTTTCCTTCTGGAAAGTTGATAGGGTGGGGTCGTGTAAGGGCAGAGATTAGAAAAGGATTTTCTTGTTCATGCTGTCCCTTCTGTGTCCCTTCTGTGTACTGTAGACATAGGGACTCGGTGAAATTGTGGAGAGTTAAGGCACACCCTAGCTTCTATGTGTACTGCTGTGCGTTCCACAAAACCTGTTACCCATCCAGTGTTTTGGCATGAGAGGATTTCTAGTTTCAGAATTATCATTGAACAGGATCAGTGGATGGAAGTAGATAGTTTAACTGTTGCCTTGTGTTGGAGGAGGACATTGAGAGGACGTGACTACCACTTGACCTGTGAGCGGGTTTTATAGTGTCTGACCTTACATTTAGGTATTTAATCCATTTTGAGTTTATTTTTGTGTATGGTGTTAGGGAGTGTTCTAATTTCATTCTTTTACATGTACCTGTCCAGATTTCTCAGAACCACTTATTGAAGAGGCTGTCTTTTCTCCACTGTACATTCTTCCCTCCTTCATCAAAGATAAGGTGACCATATGTGAATGGGTTTATCTCTGGGCTTTCTATCCTGTTCCTTTGATCTACCGTTCTGTTTTTGTGCCAGTACCATACTGTCTTGATTACTGTAGCTTTGTAGTATAGTCTGAAGTCAGGAAGCCTGATTCCTCCAGCTCTGTTTTTCGTTCTCAAGATTGCTTTGGCTATTCGGGGTCTTTTGTGTTTTCATACAAATTGTGAAATTTTTGGTTCTAGTTCTGTGAAAAATGCCAGTGGCAGTTTGATAGGGATTGCATTGAATCTGTAGATTGCTTTGGGTAGTAGAGTCATTTTCACAATGTTGATTCTTCCAATCCAAGAACATGGTATATCACTCCATATATTTGTGTCATCTTTAATTTCTTTCATCAGTGTCTTATAATTTTCTGTATACAGGTCTTTTGTCTCCTTAGGTAGGTTTATTCCTAGGTATTTTATTCTTTTGGTTGCAGTGGTAAATGGGAGTGTTTCCTTAATTTCTCTTTCAGATTATTCATCAGTAGTGTATAGGAATGCCAGAGATTTCTGTGCATTAATTTTGTATCCTGCTACTTTACCAAATTCATTGATTAGCTCTAGTAGTTTTCTGGTAGCATCTTTAGGATTCTCTATGTATAGTATCATGTCATCTGCAAACAGTGACAGCTTTACTTCTTCTTTTCCAATTTGGATTCCTTTCATTTCTTTTTCTTCTCTGATTGCTGTGGCTAAAACTTCTAAATCTATGTTGAATAATAGTGGTGAGAGTGGGCAACCTTGTCTTGTTCCTGATCTTAGTGGAAATGGTTTCAGTTTTTCACCATTGAGGGTGATTTTGGCTGTGGGTTTGTCATATACGGCCTTTATTATGTTGAGGAAACTTCCCTCTATGCCTACTTTCTGCAGTGTTTTTTATAATAAATGGGTGTTGAATTTTGTCGAAAGCTTTCTCTGCATCTATTGAGATGATCATATAGTTTTTCTCCTTCAATATGTTAATATGGTGTATCACGT